TCACAAATTTTAACAGGCATAGCTGAACAGATAGCTACAGTCTTTATTTTAAACACTGCTGTTCTTATAAAGTAGCAGCATATTTCTGTGATGTTGGTTGGACTTCTTTCAAAACACTCAGCCAGGTGTAACCATTCTTTAGCTTCATTTTTTTGATTTGTAAATGAACACTAGAGGTTAAATCAGGCCAACGTGCACTTCTTTTCTAAAAATTCTGAAAGTCAGCAATGCAAAACTCCCCTTCTGAAAAGTCAGTAAGATAACAAGATAGATGAGATACAAATAGAAGAAGAAAGGACAGGAACATGTAAAGAAATTAAGAAACTAAATGTTCATGTTTATAAAAACTTTGACACATTTTAAACATTTACTATAAGAGATTCATATTGTCCCTTCCTCCCTTTACATCCCTCCCCCATCCACACTTGTGGTTCCCAAACATGCCTTCTTCCACTGTGCAGCCTGATTCTCCGTATGTCCCTTACATAGGTTTCTCTGATATAAGCTCTATACTGGAGATAGTAGCGAAACTGCAATTGTATTTAATATTTTGTTGCTAAGGTCTTTGTTTTGGTGTGGTTTTTTTCAGACATCAACTCCAACCTGCCTGGGCTCATTAGCTGAAGCATGGCTAAACTGCCTCCAGGGACAACTCAAGTCTGAAAGCATCTCAGCTACTTTCTCTCAACCTGAGCTCACAAACTCTCGCAGGTGAAGCTCCTTGTGATGCTCAGCTTCGACACCCCCACACTGTATTCCCAATACTGGCTGCGTTTGAGGAACAGTAAGGGGAGATCAGAGCAGTTTGCTCCGAGCTGGCCTCCAAGACCAGGCTGGGCCTCCAAGACCAGGCTGACCCCACAAGCAGCCCCTGAGTGATGTCTGGGCCACCCCACCACACTCCCCATTTGGGCTCTTTGAGGACAGATTAGCCCCAGCCTCGCACAAATGCCCAGACTGCCACCTCCAACACAGCCCTCCACGCTGGGGACCCACTGCAGACATACGCAGCAACCACAAAATCATTTGCTGTGAAGTGCAAAATGACCCATTTCACATGCAACGTACATTTCTCTTCCATCAGTTCTTGGCACCGGGTTCCCCATCCACGTACCCCGCGTTCGCCCTTTCCCGGCCCTGCCCACGCTCTCCAGCAGGCACCATCCCCTCTCCAGGGAAAGCCAGCAGCACCGTACTCACCGCCCTGCGGCATGCTGCCACACAAACCGCCTTTTCCAGTTCCCTGCACACAGGCTCTCTGTATCTTCCCCAAAGAGATAACGTGCAAATTCACAGTTCTCTCTCCCCAGTTTGGCTAGTGTCCGTGCTTTTTCACTTCTTTCAGACATCACTAATCAGGGAAGCATCAGCACAGCTCCAGGATGAAGATCCCCTTTCCCCCTGCGCCTCCTCCATACCCCGATTCACTCCCTCCAGGCCCTGCCCTTCACTCCCCAGCTCAAACTGAAGGGCACTGACACGTTCCTCTCTAACAGGAAAGATTAAGCGAAACCTTTTCTTCAACATGCAGGCTACGCCATTTGGCACTATGTGGACTTGGAGGGAAAAGAAAAAAAAAAACCAAAAACATTGAAGTCATGGCATTTCAGAAATACTCTGAACACTGTCACATTTCCAGAAGGAACCTGACCGGGGCAGGAGATTTCAGACTGCATTAGGAAAGGTTGCATATAGAGGAGCTCTACTCATGCAAACACCCACCCACAGTACGGTTTCGGTCCCGTTCTCAGCACAAACCCGGGGGTACCGGCACACCCCAGGGAGATGCCCCAGGTCCAAGCGCGGGGCAGGAGCCCTCCCTGCCCGGGCGACGGAGAGGCCGGCACCGG